GGGAAAAAAGGAGAAAAGTGGTCACTTGATCATCAGAAACACCCACCACAAGGCACTGAGTATGAAGATACTGGGGAAGACGGTTGCATGTTTGACTTCCAAAATTCCCCCACAGAGGCTTTCATTGGAGGATACTGTCATATTTTGGGTCAGAGATTGAAAGGTAGAGGGAAAAAGACAGTTTATGATTTGGGACCTGCTCTTATATCAGCATCTCCTTCAGGGCATCAACTGTGTCCTCTTACAAACTTTGGGGTAGGAGAATTTGAGAAAGTGAGTGAGGTGAGCTCTTGATTCAGGGATGAGGACGTGATCTAGAGGTCTCAGTTGTTCAGGGGTCTCCCTCCCCAGGGGAAAAAAAAGAAAAAAAATTTCCTGTCTCAAATCTGTCACTCATCAGTGTTGTGACTCTGAGAAAGTCACTTACCTCTCTAAATGTCAATACCCTCAAGTATAATGTATGGGGTACAGCCCCTACTCTGCCCACCCCACCGGGCTGATGTGGCGATCACAGGAGAGGATACAGATATTCTCCATGAGCTGTAAAGCATCACATCCCTGTAAAGGATGAAGAGTCAACTTCCATCCTCCACTGCCCTGGGATTGTCCAAGACCCCTCTCTGAATTCAATCAATACCAAGAGTCTAGTTTATTCTTCCAGATATTTAACAATTAAACACTTATAGATCACTTATGAAGTACTAGTTCTCTTTATTAAGGCTTTACCTGTATTTAATCATTTTTAGCCTCATAACAAAATATTATTAAGTAGATCCTATTTTTTATATAACAATGCAGAGAACTGAGGACAGAGGAACTGCATGACTCTCCCAGGCTCATGTGGCTTCTAAGTGGGATTTGAACCCAGGTCATCAGGCACCAGCATCCACGCTCTCAGTCACTGTGCTCTGCTGCCTTTCTACACGGTCTCATCTAAATAAAGGTATTTCCTACACAATCCATCTGATAGGTGTTTTAAGTGCACACTAAACTCCATGATCTTCCTGAGGCCCAACTTTGATTCATGGGGCTCTGCTGGGAAGCCAGTGAACAGTGGGATCAGAAGTTTGAACTGAGAATAAATTATTACCAACTTACCTCTGGTCTTCTGCCAGCAAGATGTCAAAGCTCTATCTATTGTGAATGTCTTTCCCAAGGATCTTTCTCGATGTATTATAACATGCGAAGAAACAAAGCCTGTTACCCGCAGTGGGTCAGACAAATGGGCATCTGCCAAGTTGTTGGAGTTTGTAGAGTAGAGATTGAATTATGAAGAGGAAGGACGTGAGCAGAGCAGGTGCACACTCAGTGTGAGTGCAGCCACTGCCCAGGTTCATCAGGTTTCAGTCCAGGCTGCACAGACAGTAGTTCAGATAATGAATCGGCCATATACTGGGGGTGTAGACTTAACTCATTTCTAACCAGATGAAAGCAAGAGCATGGGGCATGGTAGCCATTACATGCTGAATGGATAGATGGGCAGATGAATAAATAAATGGATATAATGATGGATAGATGGATGAATATGTGGATTAATGAACGGATGGATGGGTAGAGGATAGTGAGGATGACAGGAAAGAAAGAAAATATGATGGAAGGAAGCAGTGAAGGAAGGAAGGAAGAAAGGAAGGAAGGAAGGACAGATGAATGAATGGATGGACAGACAAATCATGGTGCAAAATATCAGCCCCAAGTCAAGGTTAAGAAAATTTTATAAGTAAACACCTTTGGTAACTTAGAATTTTAGAACAGCTAGATATATTATCTTTTTTTAAATAGAAAAAGTAAATCAATATCTTAAAAATTATAGTTTAGGAACTTGCTGGACTTTGCATTGAGTTTGCCATCTTCACATTGCATTATGTAATGATCATAATTACACATGTATTTATAAAAGACACGATCTCTAAGTACATGGATGTGATTTCTATTGATGCCTCTGGAAAATAATTGGGCCAAAAGTCTCCAGAAAGGGAACAAGAACAAGCATTTACTGAGTGTCCACTAAGTATTGAGTTGTTTTATTAAAAGTTTACATTGTTAGATCCTCTCAACTCTGAATTTACAAATACTGTACATCTTTTTCAGGGCACACATTTAGCAAGATGTTAATTCTTTCATTATCAAACAATAATAGTTTTTATTTCTTGAAGATTATCTAATTCTAGATTTTGATACTTGGTGTACTACTCCTTCAGTTACATACTCAAAGCGTTTTGTCATCACCAGAAATTGCCTAATTTTTTTTTTTGTAATAAGAACACTTTGCATGTGGTCGACTGTCTTAATCAACTTTTAAGTTCACACTACAGTATTGTGAGTTAGAGACACAATATTGTACAGCAGCTCTCTAGAACTGATTCATCTCACATAACTGAAACTTTATGCCTGTTGAACAGCAACTCCCCATTTCCCCTCCCCCAACTCCTGGCAATCACCATTCTACTTTCTATTTCTATGAATTTGACATTTACTCTTCTTTTTTTCACCTATATTGGGGTATAATTTAGAAATAAAATGGTCAGCTGTTTACAACGTGATAATTTAACACATTGTGAAAGAATTTCCCCCATCAAGTTAATTAACACATCCAACACCTTGCATACTTACCATTTGTTTTGTTTCTTTGTTGAGAAGATTTAAGTTCTAATCTCTTAGCAAATTTCCATTACACAATGCAATGGTATCAACTACAGTGAGTTTAACTATGTTAGATACCTCATATAAGGGCAATCATGCAATATTTGTCCTTATGTGACTGGCTTATTTCACTTAGCATGATCTAGCAATCCCACTTTTGGGTGTATACCCAAAAGAATCAAAATCAGATCTCGGGGAGTGATGTCAGCATCATGGTGGAGTGAGTTGTTCCCTTTGTCTCTCCCCTCTAAGTTACAACTAAACGGACATCCATTAACCAACAGAGGATTCCCTGACCAGCAGAGTCTGTCTTTGAATATGGATTTCCCACGTTGAGCTTGAGTGAACTTTATCTTTCTGAAAGGGAACTTCCCATTAAGAACTTTGCCTTGTCACAACAAGAAATGGAAGTGGGCATTGAAACACCTGGATAGGAATCTCCCCCTTTCCTAAAGCCTTAGTGATGGAGACCCTCAGACAAAAATCTTTCTGAGACCTCTAAGTGAAACCATAGGAGATCCTGGATCTGAGAGGACTTATCAGGATGTCTCTCAACACCGCTGAGGAGCACTAAGCTCCAGGGGCTCTTGCAGGTGCTGATACGTTGGTCCTGGACGGTGTGGGGAAGTGTCCAGAGGTCACTTCAGATCCCACTTCTGACACCAAAGAATGTCAGCAAAAATCTCTGAAATACAAGGATTTAGTCAGGATAGCTTTAGTTTGCAAATCCTGGAGATGTAGCCTTCGGCAGCAAAGCAAAAGTACTCTTTGGGAGAACAAAGGAAGGGGGCTGCCTTTTAAAAAAAATGTTCCCACCCAGGTTCTCACTCAGGTGCACTTATGCAAATAAGGGATGCAAGACTGCTTGGTCCAGACTGGTTGGCCCAGGTCACAGTTTTATTGGTTACATCCATGTGGCTGTTAGGGACTTTCATAAAGTCAAGAACTTTGGCAGATTAAAAAGCTTAAGAGTGCATTCTGTGGTTTTTCTGGGAAAAGAGTATGTGACTTCATCCTGGTCCCATCATGGCCGCTTGACTCCATTTGTTTTTAGGTCCCAGTTACCACACAGATTCCTTCTTGTTCTCAGGAGTTTGTTGACTTCATTTTATTCTATGATTATTATTATTATTTTATTAAATTTCAAAAATAAGATTGAACAGTGAGTCTTCTTTTAAGAATGGGGATAACTGTAGTGACAGTGATATTTTCTCTTCAGCTGAATTCACGTCTTCTCCTTCCCTCTGAAACACAAGCCTGTTCACAACATACCCTTATCTGCCATAGCTGCCTTTCCTAACTTCCTCTCCTCCAGAGAAAATCCATGCTTCTGATCCACATTAAATCTTAGACTCACAATTCAAGAGAGGCCGTGATGTTTGAAGAAAGCAGGAAGAGGCTTGGCTGTCAAGGCATGAGCCCTCTCAGGCTGAGTGAACATGTCCTCTGGTCACCAGGGAGCAGTGTGGGCCTGGTGTCAAGATCCTGAGGGGTGCTGGGAAATGTCCCCATAGGCCCTGTGTGGGACATGCACCTGCTCAACAATCTCAGATGTGTGAAGTGACAACAGCTGTGACCCTCCCTACTTGCTGCCCTCACAGGAACACAGAGACAATTATGATGAAACTGTTGGACCTGCCTACAGGGTGTCCACAGTGATGCTGGGACCTTTGGGGTTCCACATCCAGGGCAGGTCCTGGAAGAACACTGCTGGGGGGTCTTCTCCATGGAGGGAAGTGTCTCCTTCCCCTTTGCTCAGTCACTGTCCAGGTCAGTCAGCGAGGGGACACTGAGCAAGCGCTCTCTGAGTCCACCCCCTGTCTTTTGTCCTGAGGCCTCCTTTCTTGCCCTTGGTCAGGAGCCCCTTCCCAGGAACATTCCCTGTCCACAACTCCTGGGAGGACAGTCATACTTGTCTGTGGCTCCAGTGCTGGAGCATCACCACCAGTAACTATGCCCACTGGATCCAACAGAAGCCCCACCAGGTACCTGCGGTCTAAATGGCACCAGCAATGGGGTCCCAGGGGTCCCTGCTTGGAGGCAGAGCTGCCCTCACCATCCCCTGGCCAGCCCAAGGATGAAGCCAAACATTACTGTTCACACTATCACAGCAGTCATTGTCACAGGCAAATGAGCACATTAGTGAGACCAAACACCTCTCAGGTCAGTCTGGGAGGCTGTCCTTCCTTCTTCTTCATCTCAGGTGTAGATTTTAACCCTCACATTCAGTGTCCTCCTCATGACAGCCACACTTAACCCAACGTTGAGGACTCTTCCTCTCAGCCAGGACAGAACACTCCACATCTGTCACTGTAGTTATGGGAAGTGGGGCAATGCTTTAGCAGCCAGTGCCATACAAGCATCAGTGTTCTGTGCAGCTTCCTGCCCATCTTCATCAGGGAGTGAGGTGTAAAAATATTAAGATTTACCTGATGTTTGTTTTCAGTGTAATGGAAATGTGTTCCCAGTCACTTGGTTATATAAGTCCTCATTGTTTGAAGAAAATCTCTAATATGGTTAGTGGAACTGAGAAGGTGAAAAAAGAAAGCCACTTCTCACAGCTTCCCCCTCCTCCAACCAAATTCTTCCCAGGTCCAGTTGACACCAGCACATCTGTGGAGTAAACCACACTAATGTGGAAACTCTCTCTCTTCTGCCCAGATGGTGAGCTGCCTTGTGTCTCCCCCAGAAGTGATCAGAGGCCCTGTTGGCAACACTCACCACGAATTGTTATTTGTAGGGAGAGTGTCCTGTGAAGGACTGAGTAACCCCAAGAAAGGGACTCTCTCTTCCTGCGTCACCTCTCTTCCCAGAGCCAAGCATGGGGACTGGCCTGAGGAAGGCACATCATAGATGTTTGCTGAATAATAGTTGAAGGACTGGCCCATCAAAGATGAAAGGTGGGACAGGTGCCCGTGACAGGCTCCAGGATTAAATGATTTAGTAGCTGCGGGACAGTGGAATACACAGGAATACAGAGGGTCAGAAGTATTGTGGAGATCACCTGGGAAATGGGAAGTGGACCGTGAGGTCTTTCCAGGACACACACTTGGGCTCCACCTACAGGCTGTGACTCAGGGACCAGGAGGCCTTGTCTGAGTCCTGAGGGGTGCAGTCAGTGTCTCTCCACGAGGGAGAAGCACACTCTGTGAAACCAAGTAGAACTCAGCCCTCAATCTGAGCCCTCCACCCTTGAAATACCCACAGGGAGCCAATTTGCATAAAGGTATAAGCCCCGCCGAGCACTATCCTGAGGGAATGAGTTGTGAGAGACCAGCCTCAATTTGGGACCTGAATGTCCTAACTCTGTGTGTCTCCACCGCAGCCTGCACCCACCTCACCTTCCTCATCACAGTCACAGGTCACGTGAGGGCAGTGGTCACTGCCTCCATAGGGGCCAGCCCCACCCAGTCCCCATTCCTGTCCTATCCCCTCCAACATCTGTTCATCTGACTCCCAACTGGAGCCCTAATAAGGTTTTGTGTTGCCAAGGTCCCTCTCCAGCCTGTACTGACTCAGCTGCCCTCTGCACCTGTCTCCCTGGGACCCTCAGCCAAGCTCACCTGCACCCTGAGCAGTGGCTGCAGTAGCTCCAGTGCAGACTCGCGCCAGCAGGGACAGGGAAAAACCCTGGTTCCTGATGTGTGTGGACACCAGAGTGTTGTTGGATCCAGGGTGGCAGGCTCCTTGATCACTTCTCAGGTTTGAGCTCTGGCCAGGATCCATACATGACCATCTAGAATAGCCAAGAAAAGGATGACACAGACATAGACGTGGACATAGAAATAGACAAGTCCATTACTATAACACTAAACATTGCTCTCTCAGTAATCGATAGATGCAGCAGGCAGAATATCAGTAAGGATGAACTGAACCGTGTCATCCATCAACTAGATCTAATTACCATTTGTAAAATACTGCATCCAACAAAAGCAGAATACAGAGTCTTCAAAAGCTCACAGGCAACATTCACCAGACACACCACATTCGGGGTAAAAACAAACAAACAAAGAAAACAAAAAACTTCAACAATTTAAAACAATAGAAACCATACAAAGTATGTTCTCAGACCAAAAAAGGACTTTAAGGTAGGGAAAAAAAACAAAAAGATAGCTTGAAAGTCCCAAAATACTTAGAGATTAAACACATGGATCAATAAAAGAAGTCTCAAGAGAAATTTCAAATATTTTCCACTAAATGAAAATGAATATACAACTTATCAAAATGTGTGGAATGCAGTGAAAGCAGAACCTAGCGGGAAATTTATAGCATTGAATGCATAGGTGAGAAAAAAAAGCTCTGAAACAATAATCTAAGCTAGACAAAGAAGAAAAAAGTAAGCCTAAAGCAAATAGAAGAAAAGAACTAATAAAAATTACAGCAGAAATTAATGACATTGAAAATGGGAAATCAATAGAAAAATCAACCAAAACTCGTTTTTTCAAAAGATCAAAAAATGGATAAATCTCTAGCCAGGCTAACTAAGAAAAAAAAGAAAGAAACACAAATCACTAATATAACACATGAGAGAGGGCCTATGATTACTGATCTCATAAACATTAAAAGGATAATAAGGAAATATTTGAACAAGGGAATGATATCTTCCCTGATGAGTTCTTTTAGATCTATATGAAATCTTGAAATGCATGAATCCAAATCTTTCCCTCACTTTTTCACATTTGGCTTCTAATTTATATAACCAAAATATTGATGAGAATATGATTTAATGTCTAAATAATTTCCAAGTAGTAGGGCCGGCCGCGTGGCTTAGCGGTTAGGTGTGTGCGCTCCGCTACTGGCGGTCAGGGTTCGGATCCCGGGCGCGCACCTACGCACTGCTTCTCCGGCCGTGCTGAGGCCGCGTCCCACATACAGAAACTGGAAGGATGTGCAGCTATGACCTACAACTGTCCACTGCGGCTTTGGAGGAAAAATAAATAAACAAAATTAAAAAGAAAATTAAAAATAAATAAATAATTTCCAAGTAGTAACACTCTATTATGCATAAATTAGACATCACTAAAATGCATAACTTTAGGGATTTAAAAGACAACCTTATGAATGTGAACAGACAATCCACAAATATAGAGAAAAATTTGCAACTTTTATATCTAATTAGAAACATAGCTAGAATATATAAAGAACTCTCACAACTAAATTATAAGACGACAAATAACTGAATTAAAAATGGGCCAATGAGCTGAACAGACATTTCTCCAAAGAAGATATACAAATGGGCATTAAGCACATGAAAAGATGTCCAACATCATTAGCCATCAGAAAAATACCAATCAAAACCACAGTGAGATATCATTTCACATCCATAGATTGGCTATAATCAAAAAGACAGATGATAAGTGTTGGTGAGGACGTGGAGAAACTGGACTCCTCACACACTGCTGGCAGGAATGTAAAATGGTGCAGTCACCTTGTTAAAATGTCTTGCAGGTATTCAAATAGTAAACAGACAAGTTACCATATGACCCACAAACTTCACTCCTAGGTATACACCCAAAAGAACTGAAAGCAGATGTCCACACAAAAACTTGTATAAGAATGTTCATAGCAGCAATATTCACAATAGCCAAAAAGTGAAACAACCCAAACATCTGTCAACTGAGGAATGGGTATTTAAAATGTGCTACAGCCACATAATGGAATACTATTCAGCAAACAAAAAGAAACAAAGTGCTGATACATGCTACAACATGAATGGACCGTGAAACCATTATGCCGAGTGAAAGAAGCCAGACACAAAAAGTGGTGACATTGGACAATTCTCTGAATATACTAAAAAACCCTGAATTGCACACCTTCAAGTGTGACTTGTATTATATGTGGACTATAGCTCACTAAAGCTGTTACAATGATTAAAAGACTGGAATGTGCATCGTCAACATAGAAAGTAACCCCCTGAAGGGAGGAGAGAATCTTGTTCACTCACTTGAAAGGATCTGAACTTGGTCAATGAAAACCCAGAGGAATTCTATTACTTAATGCTGAGGATTTCCATGTTCTAATTAAAAAGAAAAGTCACCTAAAGTTTAAAGAAAAAATATTTACAAGTGTCAGAAAAGAATCATTGTAATGCAGGGGGAGGAGAACACAGGGGAGTCATCAAATGGAGAAAAGTGTAAGAGTTTGGATCACATGGATCTGCACCATGAATGTGAAAGTGGACCCACATTTATTACTGCTCCACCCCCGAGGATGACGTCTAATGTCAAACAGCCCAACTAACAACGTCTCTTTCAAAAGCATCACTTTATGAAAACCAAAAATATTAACAGATTAATATTTTGCCATCATGAAGAATTAATCTCCCAGATCCCCAGTTTTAAAACTTCTGCAGATTCCATTTCATAGGCATTGGAGTGACTTTCCTCTTTGTGGTTGGAGTGGATTCCAAAAGTGACAGATGCCTTCAGGATAAAAACTGAAAAGAATCCAACAGTGTTTTTAAAGGCTATTTGTTGACCCTGAATCTAATCCTAAACTCTATATAAGATAATAGACGCAAATGCGGATCACCACAACCAACAGGCAAAATAACAAAGGATCGTGAAAAATTCAATACTTTGCGCGGTGACATTTCAGGATGTGCCTATTAATATTCATCAGGCTTTAATGAACCTGTCATGAGTGATCAGAAACAAAGACATCCCAGATTTGTCAAAAAGGTGTGTACCTGTTCTTGCTACCAGTCTTTCATGACCCTTCAGTTCACATGACCATCACCGACCACAATACACTCGCCTGGGTGCACGCCGCTCACCAGGGCCAACGTGCCTGAGGCACTGGTGCCACAGAAGTCCCAGCTACGTAGCCAAGTGACATCTCCAACCTCCGCCTCTTCCACTTCTGTCCTGGGCAGATAAGGAGGATCCCCATCCCACCCCACCGTAGGGGCTCTCAGATGGCTGTCATGACCTAGTCAAGCTTTTAATGACTTTGGGGGCCTAGGGTCACCAAGTATGAATGCATACTGAAGGCACCCTCTATGATCCTATTGAGGAACATTCTTGACAATAACAAGGAAGGATGTTGTTCCCAGAATAAAGGACAGACCATCCCATGAAACAGCATTTGCGGAGCTATCTCTGACCTGTGTGTGCACATAATATATGAATCACACTCACCCACACCTTTCTGAGGGCTTTCCTCCTCTCTAAATGGAGACGATGAGAAACATACCTCCTAGGGCTGCGGTAGAATTAAGCACAGGGACAGTGTTGGATCCAGTCCCAGCACAGAGTAAGAGGGAAGAAGCGTCAGCTGCTTGCTTCTCACACACACGTCTCCTGGCCTTGATCTGCTCACTGCCCTCCGTCAGGGAAGACTGCACAGGCCAGCCTGCAGCAGAGCCT